GAAGATTCCACGTGCGATGGACAAAAAAAAGCATACATAAAAATTGGAATGATTTTAAAATTAATAATCGTCCTATAAGAAATTTAAGCTGCACGGTATCCTAGTTGTGATTCATATTCTCAAAAAATATGGCTTTGCTTTTAGATGGTTTTAAGGAGTAGTTTTAAGGGAATATAGCAGTGACATGGTGTGCTTTGCGATCTATCGATTGATCTGCCATTTAAAACCATGGGAAAGGATCGATACACAGGGTGTTTGTAGTGAGCACCTTAACAATCGATTTCTTACCATAGTTTCAAATGGGGAAATGTCGAAAATCGATCATTCATGCTTCGCTACTGGACCAGGGGACGGGAGGAAATGTGGTTTCAGGTCTCTCTCAGATAGGCTAGCACTAATTGGAGTATAAATAATTTGTCTGTTGGCTCAGAGTTGGGTTCGGATTGACATGGCAACCTAACCCGAGATGAAGCATAAAGTATTAGGCGAAATGGAAGGGGCACTATACTGAAATTCTATTTCAATGAGAGTCTTTGAAAGGGTATATTTTGACGGGAGAAAGGTACCCTAAAAGGGCCTTCTTTGTCCCTTCTCGAGAAACCCTGGGAGTCATCGATTTGTATGTTTCTTAAATAAAACTTAATGGTGAAATAATCCTTTGGTGAAAGTTATAACTTCATTTTTAGTTGAAAAATCGTTTTGGCGATACACCATAGCAAATATTACATTTTTAATTCAGCATTGGAACATGTCTATGACGCTAAGAGTGAAACGTTTTTATCGCTTTACCGCCAAAACCAGCTTTAACTTCAAGTTGAATATTATAATGGATACGTTGATCTTTACAATCATTTACTTTAAGCATATTTTAACTAACATCTTGGTCTCTTGATCGAATGGTTAATTGTTTATACCTGTTTCCTCTTTTGAGGAACTTTTATAAAATTACGACAAAGACATTCAATGCTAAACGCTTACTGCCTCAAGCTGTGAGATTTTTTTTAAAAATAAACTCACTAGCTATTATTTCATAATTTTTATTTTTACGCAAAGAATATGTATGTAGCGCCAACACGCTCACATTCCCCTCCCGAGGAAGGCTCAACCTCATCAAAGGATATTGAGTAGGAAGTACCCCCAAAATGGTTTTTTTCTATAAAATGGGAACATCGGAGTTTATCCTGACCAATAATGGTTGGTTCTATTGTTCTCTTTTTTTGTAAAACTGCCGAGCTGTATTCAAAAAGACGATCGGTTTTGAGCGCTCTCGCGACCGAGTCAACATGACGCTCAGGCTACGGCCAGCGGCTGCAAAAGCAACACTCGCACTCTTTTCTTTGAATTTCATTGGTGAGCCGGTAAGAAAATAAGCAACGGACAAACCGCCATGCGTCATTTCTTTGGCGTAAGGGCGTGCTCGCAGTTAGAGTTGAGCCGTATTTTCCCCGCGGCTTCTCGCCTTTCAGAGCTCATGTGTAACGGAGTTGCGCCTTCGAGTCGAAGATGGGACGGAACACTCGAAAGGAAAATCCAAATAACAAACGCCACGATGGAATAACACTTTGCAGCTTTATACTTACATAGATGCGGAATCTTCGAAAAATATTGGAATTTTGCAAAGGTCGAAAGTTAAAACCCCCCAAAACAGTCGAAATTCTCACTTCGGTTTGAAAGAAAATTTCTCGAAAAAGCGATTTTTTGGTGTTGAAATAAAATAGAATTTGCCCTTTTATTCTTAAAATTTTTTTTCTTTTTTAAATGGAGGATTTGTTTTCCTGTAAATTCAAACACGTGATGTTCTGTCGTCAATGACAATATTACTTTCGTGTGTAGTAGCTGACACACTTTATGGCTCCAAAAGAACTAGTTACCGAACGTCACCGGAAAATAAAGCATACTAACATTCAAATATTGTCGTATGAGGAAATTAAAAGATTATACATGGTTGGGAGTAATTGTGAAGTTGTTTATCCGTACAAAGATTCAGAAAGATAGTTAATTAATACATAAATAAAACTCAGTAAATAGAACCTAGGAATTTTTAAAATCAAGGGAAACGAATTTAAACCAAAAAGAATCAATTATCTAAAATATCTATTAGCTAAAATGACTATTATATTCATTTACAAGTGAAGATTTTCGAATGGACCGACAACTTTGGCAATTAAAATGCGACCTGTGACATTTCTGGCTAAGTCTGCCGTTTCTTGTCACAAGTTTTTAGCAATCGCCGGCCTTTTGCAAGCAATATGTGAATAAATAGAAAATAATAGATTTCAGAAATAAAGGAATGAGAATGAAGCTCTGACTGTTTTGCCTCATTGTGAATTTGTGAATAGACACTTTTCCTCCGTAACAAACATGGTCGTAACTGGTAAAATCGAGAGCATGTGATCTCTTAGTTGGGTTTAGATCGGACCGACAACTAAACTAACTCCGTTACAAAGCGTAGTGTATCACAAAAAATGAAGGCGTTTCAAGCCGAGTTTACACTTTTGAAAGTCTTTTACCATCAAACCCACATTAAGATAATTTGCATTCCTGTGATTCATCGAAAAAACATGTGAAAACCTCGCAAATTGCGGCGATTGCTGATTGCATGCCACGTATTCACGTGTCGCGTTTTTCATATACGCAGAATGAGTCAGTGGAGTCAATGGCAATGATTGTCGCCTTCAATCATTCGAAAAACAGTCCTATTTGCATTGGAGCTGAAAATAATCAATTATATCTACTGTTACTATGCTTGAATTCTTTATATTGCCAATCCCTTAATTTCTGTTTTTATCTTTTTCAGGTGAGTCCTGCCTATATTTCTGGGATAAACTCAAAGGACTTTGAGTGAAACTTCCTATCTTCTGAGTAAGCCACTTTATATTAGTCTCAAAAATAGGTTTGATCTTGTTCAAAGTTTTCTAAAGGAGATATCATCAAATTTAAAAATATTCGTGTGCCGTTCGTAAGGAGCCCGGAGGTCCCTCAAAACCTCCAACTGTGCGCCAAGTGCAACAATTTTACGGAATATTTGTTTTTAACGTGGCTTCGAAGTAATTTGTGGGGTGCATCGTAGCTAGTTTTTAAAATCAGTCATTTTATCTTATTGAGATGAGCAATACATCTTAGGATCCCACCAACAACCTTGGCGTCAGAGTCGGTAATTAAATTACTAGAAACGTAAGTCTCTAGGTGGGTGAATGTCAGCCCAAGCACCTAATCTAAACTGATCCGTGTTCCATATGAACCAAACTTTGATACGTGTATCCAAACTTCTTTTTTGAGTGGTACCGCTGCAGAGTAAATAAATAAATAGTCAGGAGGTAATTAGTACCGTAACACCGCAAATAAGCCCTCGTCTCTTCAATTGTCATGAAGAGGACTCGAATATCAAGCGAAAGCCAGTTTTTCACGTTAAATCGCTCGGAAAATTCAGAAAAGTAACTGATCCTCCAACTATGCAAGTCTGCACGATAATGCGATTATTTTTCTTACGAGTTCCTTCCTCCCCGCGCTGTCCTCGTTCTCGTCACCTCGTCTCTTCTTCTCTTCCTCGCCCGTCGTTCTTTTCTTTGTCCTTGAATCTTAGATCCTTAAATAGAAATAAATAATTAGAGCAGACTCTACCTCCTGTCATCCTCTAGTCATCCCGTCCGTTTCAGCAAGCTTTTCAATGAGACTCTTTAAGAACTTCGTATCTTAGTCCTCCTCTCCGTCTTTTTCTCATAATGACGTTTCCTTTAGAGATAAAATAAAATGAACGCTAAATTTTCACCTACAAAATACTATAAAGCATGTCAGTTGTTTTTCCCCGCATTCAAACGGATAAATGCGAGTTTTCTCTGCGACTGAGTCCAAAAGAGCAAACTATCTTGAACACTTTTTGTCTCTTTCTGTCCCCTTCTCTGTAACGGTTGGTTTTTGTGAGACCTCTCAACTTGTGTTGAAGCCCATTGTAATTCTTGATGATGTTTCGAGATAGAATCAGACGAAGACAATAACATTGCCTTATTTTGTTTCAATGTGGTTGCCCTCAGGAATTTTTGAATTTTGAACATTTTCCTTGCATGCAAAAGAATATATATTTTCAAATTTTAAAAAATATGATAGAAAAAACTTTGATGAGAATGCGAAGATTATTCGTCGCAATAGCTGCACTGGAAAAAAACCACATTGGATCTAGAGTCCAGACTCTTGAAAACATCGACAAGAAAAAATACTCTTGATTCAATTGGATTTTTGCTTGAATCAAAAGAAATCCGCTTAAATTAAGAGGCTTGGTTCTTGATGTAAACTAGATTCTGATTGAATCAAGAGTCCTTTTTCTTGTCGATGTTTTCAAGAGTTTGGACTCTAGATCCGATGTATTTTTATTTCCAGTATGCGAGTTGTCTCAACTTCATGGAGACACTAACGGCTGAAACCAAACAACACACACACACACACACCCTCACCCTCACACACATTGACATCATTGAGTAAAATGTATCACGATTGAATCTTAGATTAAATACAATAACCTATGATATATAATTAGAAACAAATTAGATTTGAAATGGATATGGATAAAATGGTTCATTAGAAATAAAACGGTCTAATTCATTCGGTCGCTGATCCAAATTTCCGGTCTGAAAGCCGCTCTCAGTATGCCGGAACTCAATCTGGTTCATAAAGCTGCAGCCATATTTTTCGCCTCTCCGGATCCCATTGATGGACATTTTCGCCCAAATATTATTTATTCATTCAATTAATATCAAATTCTACCCACCTTCAAGCAGTGACCGAAATATGTACCCGTTTTCCGTTTGAAAAGTATCATAATAACCTCGTCAACCTCGATTTAATACTGCCTTAAAAATTGAAGTTGAAGGGAAAATTGGAATAATGGTGTTGCGGAATCGACTTATGGAATCGCTATTCAATATTTGTCGTCGAAATTTTATCGCTCAAGTGCGGCTCAAATTCTTTCATCGGCTCATAACACATCTGTATTTGACTACGCTCGAAATAATTGACGTCGAGCAGTTGTTTATCAGTCTAAAACACTATCCGGAGCCTTCTGTTGCACTTTTGTTGTTACACAACTCTTTAAAGTTTTCAAAGTTTTCAACCTAATTGCCAACGTGCATAGCAATGCACAACTCCTTAATTGCTGCACTTGTTATCTGTTTTCTCACACGTAAGTCTAAAAAGGTTCACAGTTTACAGGTCGCTGAAGAAGAAGAAAAACGAGGATCGTTACGTAATTTAGTAGATGAATGGTCCAGTGGTCCACTAGATTGAGTCATAGTTGAAACATTGCTAGGTATATTTTTTCATCACAAAAACCCAACATAGTTAACAAACATATTGATTTACCAATTTAAAGTCATAACTAAGCAACCAGCTCAGCATTTCGAGTCCAGTCGATTCTAACTTTTGACCTGCTAAGCAGACTCCCACGAATCAAATCAAACATTCTGCTCATTCTAGTACGTTTTACGATTAAATGCTTCTTTCTGATGGATCTTCCTTGACAAGTTTATGGGTGTGATGTATCAGAGGAGGAAAATAATGTTTTTGAAACGAATATTGCCTGAATAAGTATTCTTTATTCCATGGTCAATTTGACTTTTAAGGGCTGTCTGAATGACGCCAGGGTTTTCCGTGTTTTTTCCCTCCTTCCGCGCGCCAGGTTTATATTAGGCAGCGTTTAGCTCAGCTTCATAATCACAGATTTATGTTAATTTTCTTCTTCCCTTGTTTCTCTCTCAAAATCGGCGTTTTGTGATATTTTCGATCGGATTTTTCCAAAACCCTGATATCAGGTTTGGCATTGACCTCTCTCCTGCTCTCATGTCAGGTAATCCTAGACCCCTTGTCATTTTCAGCAGGACCTTGGCGTCCATTTCTGAACAACGACCCCTTACGTTGATCTTGAGTTTTTCGCAAGTGAGGATTTAGAATTTTCCAACTTGGGAACAACGAATGCTAATTCTTCGCTTAAAAGTTGATTTCAAGAAATTTCGTACATTCAAAGTGTTCTGCATGAAATTTCATTAAGGAAGCATTTTCTGTTATGCTTTATTTCTCACTCTGTCTAAAGCAATAATTTTGGAAATCAACCAAAATGGTTTTAAACTCATTTAAATTAAACTAAAGGAAACCAAACCAGACTGAGCTACTAAGTCTGAGAGCTTTTTTTTTTTTTTTTTTTTTTTTTTTTTTTTTTTTTTTTTTTTAGTTTGCTATCTTTCTTCATAAACCTCCGAAGAGGGATCACTTCCGGTATAAGCACCGTTGACGGGCCACAGGCCAAAGTCAGCAATACTTGATTGGAATTGACCACTTGAAGCAAAATTAGAACACCGAATCGAAAACTTGAAAAACCAATAAAATACTATAACATTGCATAAATATCATGAATTAATATCAAGGAACCATCCGACGAAACTTGACGTGCTTATATCAACGGACTGAACACTAGAAAAAAAAACCACGTTGGATCTACAGTCCGGACTCTTAAAAACATCGACGAGAAAAAATACTCTTGATTCAATCGGATTTTAGCTTAAATCAAGAACCACGCCTCTTGACTTGAGCGGATTTCCTTTTGATTTAAGCAAAAATCTGATTGAATCAAGAGTATTTTTTCTTATCAATGTTTTCAAGACTCCGGACTCTAGATCCAATGTATTTTTTTTCCAGTGAACTAAAAGTTGATCTAAGATCTAATTATTACTATTATAATTTGTATTTATTTATTTTTTTCTATTTGATTTTTTTGCCTACAATGAAGTTATATAATTTCAACAGGCTTCTCGGGAGCTGATGCCGGTACAACATATTGGAATGCAACGTTGTATCGGGATGTATCGCAAAATAATGTTCTGCAGGAGGTATCGGGAGTCCTATGCCAGGACGTGGATGCCTCTAATCACGACAAAACCTCCTCCATCAATACCCATGACACGTGCGTAATAGTTTACGCAGAACCTGGTTGTAAAGGGAACCACAAGAAGATACAACCTGGCACTCCACATCATGATGATTTTGAACAACTCGGGTTCAACGATGTCTTGTCATCCGTTGGGCCTTGTTGAAAAATGAAAGAAAATTGTCGTGGACTTGATAGCTCGCTGGAAAAAAAAAATTGACTCTTTTCAACAAAGAAAACTGTTTTCTTGACAGTATCCTGTTACATTGAAATAATGCTCCTTTATTTCGTCAAATGTCGCCTGGAGGCTCAAAAATTTATTGCCTTTCAAAAGCACGAACTCCAAAATGTATGAGACAGCTAAGGATTATTTTAAACATCTTAAAACCAATCACATGAATAGTGGGTACTACACTGATAAAAATATTTTTGTTCTTGTGTTACTTTAGGTTAATATAGGAAATGAAACACCGAACAAAACAAATTTTGTGTTGATCGTGTTACAGTTTGCGGTGAATTTAGCTCAGGAAACAATGGAAGGGTTGGGTAAATGTATTCCTCCGAATGGAGCATCGGTATTCACCACTGGTTTTTTTATTTCCGCAATAAAAGTAGCTAGTATTTTCTCTTGAAAGTGTCAACCAAAGTCGTGGGTTATGTAGTGTATTATTTCCGTATTAACCAAACTTTTGTGTTGCAATTTCTCTCCGTGTACAGCTACAACCAAGAACGAACACGCCCAAAAATAGTGGTAAAAAATTGAATAATATAACGACGAATGTCGGAGGATAGCCTGCAATTATTTTTTGAATCATTAGCAATGATTAAGTGGAAATTTATTCAATGGTAATAATTGTTACGAACTAGTGTGATGTTGTTTTTCTCTCCGTGCGAAAAAAACATTCTATGAATACTGTAATTAATTATTTCAATTTTCCCCCGTAAAACATAAAATAGGAACGGAGATGTTAAAACTATGGAAACGAGATACGCGGTCTGCGGATCGATTGTTGAATCGTTACCGAATAAACTTGATCGATAAGTCCCGATCTTGGCAATGTAATTTATCGATCAAGGTCGTTCGATAATGACGCAACAATCGACCCGCTGGAAGTTTCACCGTTGTTTTATCTGCATCTTCCAGGTGCAACTGACCCATTCAACGAGCCCGAAACAAAATTGCAAGGTTCGGCTACATTCTGCGCAGTGGCGTGGCGTGAATGATCGATTTTCGATTTTTCCTTATTTGTAGCCATGGTAAAGAATCGATTATTAAGGTGTTCGCTGCAAACACCCTGTCTATCGATCCTCTCCCATAGGTTTAAAAGGCAAATCAATCGATTTATCGCAAAGCACGCCACGCCTCTGATTTTGCGGCGATGAATTTGACTGCGTTTGCAGTACGAACCGCTATTCATGGCTCGTCCAGGACAAAATTTTGCAATTAGGAACTATAAGTTCCGGCCCGGTTTAAAAACAACGTATGTGCCATTAGTTTCCCTATACACAGAAGTGTTTTTTCAGATGAGCCAGAATTTATAGGTCCAAATTTCAGAATGCAGTCCAACTAATGTTACGCTCGTTGTTCCTACAAGGAGCCAGGAATAGTAGTTCCAATTGCGTGGTTCGCTTTGCGATGTATCGATCGATATTGCACTTGAACCTATGAAAAAGGATCGATAAACAGGGTATTCGCAACGAATACCTTAGTAATCGATTCTTTAGCGTAGCTTCAAATGGGGAGATAATGATCGATCACCCGTGCCTCGTTACTGCGAGTAGCTCCTTATTGGAGAATGTAGTTCAATTGAGCAGCGTGCTGCCGTGCTAAGGAAAAACGCCGTATGGACATTTGAGAGTTGCCAAATTTCCTTTGATAAAATGTGTATTCTTGAGGAAAATTACGAACATTTTTCCTTGAAATTTTCAGGAACTTTAGATCAGAATACGAACAAAATTATCTGAAAAATTGGAAGAAAAATACTCACAAATTTACCAGGGAATGCGTGTTTTAGTGAAGACAATTTGGCAACGTCTGAAGGTTCATACGGCGTTTTTCCGTGGCACGGCAGTGTGTATGCACGCCTGAGAGGTCGTGCCACGAAGCCGGGGCTCTTTCGCGAGAGCGCTTCCGCATCATTTGAACGCATCCGAGCTGAAATATTTGAGTCGAGAGGTGCCGCCGCCGCGCCGGCTAGTGTTTGCATACGCGGAGCGCGCGAGAAAAGTCGGGAGGAAATTGGAAAGCGGACCCCTCGCGCCGCTCACGGGTCCTCGGTCCTATCCGCTCTGGAAAATGAGTATTTTACACGTGAGATATATTCAAAGTAATGGATACACTCAAGAAACAAGTATGGGAAGAGTGACTTACCGGCCGAGTTATGGATCATGGAGCCATAGAATATAGCTCGTGGAGCCATGCTTACAGGTTCACGACCAATAATTTATGGCTCAGAAAGTCATACTGTAGACGGTAAATCACTTTGGTTAGAAATTATGGATCTCCAAGCCATTTTTTATGGGTCTCAGAGTCATACCTTTTTTCGAGCGAGACTTCAAGTGATGATACGGCGTAGAAACCTCCATGAGCAGTGTTCGAAACTCACAGGCGCCAACGCGCCAAATCCGCCTAAAAAATTGGTCATGGCGCCTCAAAAATGAAGGCTCTGCTCCAACGTGGCCCCTAGAAAGTGCCTCCCCCCCCCCAAAAAAAAAGAAAGAAAAAAACAAAATCCTAATTTTTCTGTTTGGTGATTTTTCGAAAGTTATTAGTAACAAGTTGAACGTTACAAGTTTATGTGACTAAGGGTTTAAAACAGGAATGTTGTTTGTCGCCAACATTATTTCAAATTTATCTCGAGTGTGTGCTGAAGGAATGGAAAAGGAAATGCTCTGGTATGGGTGTCCCCTTGGGTGATTTTGAAACTCTATTTACTCTGTGCTTTGCTGATGACCAGGTGGCGGTTGCTCAAGATCAAGATGACGCGGCGTATATGATGCGCAAGTTAGTAGAAGAGTATCGGAAGTAGGGTTTGGAAGTCAGTTCATTCATAGAAAATCTTCTTGAAATATCGAATTTTCAACTAATTTCGAACTTCGAACATACTTTTAGGTAGACGAAAACCAAACGCAATTTTGCCAGTTACGAGATCCGCCACTGGTCATATACTCAATTGTGTTTAAGAGGAACATGTTATGAACGTGTCGTATGACCATTCAAATATTGCCAAATTCCTCTAGCTAAAATATTCATGTACGAGGAAGACTGGTTAGCGCAACTTGTATAGATCAAATTGCGATTAATACTATCTGAAAAATGAGAAGAAAAATATTCTCAAGTTTTCAGAATAGTTTTCTTTCATTGAAGGCAATTTGAGAACGTTTAGAACGACAGTTCATGGAGCCACCCCTTTTATTTAATGTCTTAATGTTTCTATAAAATTGCATCAATTTTATATGAACATGCCAAGGTGCGACTCAAATTTTTTATTTAAATTTTTCAATAGCATCTTGATATGGTATCCTCACTATTTTAACAATTTCACAGACAATTGTAGGTGCATCATGCACTTTGAAAACATCAATTGATTTCTTCCCCCATTTAGAATCGTTCGTTCCAGTGTGTGAATCGCTATAGAAGTCGGTTTTATTTCGTAAAAGATTGCCTCGAAGGGTTCCAGCTTTTCCAGCTTGGAAAAAGCTCGATCTTCTCCCTTTTTCTCATCTACCTTCAAATGCAAGAAGGACGTATCTAGATGATACTTTGATCGGATCTACGTCCTTCTTACTCCAGATAGCTGAACAGCATCCGAATGGATTGCGCCCGATTTACGAATAGAGGCGTCAAACGAGGAAGATAAGAGAAAGGTTAGAAAAATAGCATAGCATTTGTTTCATTCCGTCGGAGGCTGAGAATGCGTGAGTTAAACATGGCCGAGAAACTAGACACTAACGCACAATGTCCATACACGTCAGGTGGTTAAATAAACGTGCTCCATTCCTGCGCTTTGCACTAAGTGTGTTTGTGTGTTCCGTTCGTTATGGGATCTCGGAGCAGAAATTCTTTGCATTCAGATGACTACACTGGGAAAAAAAACACATTGGATCTAGAGTCCAGACTCCTAAAGACATCGACAAGAAAAAGTAATCTTGATTCAAGCAGAATCTCGCTTTAATCAAGAACCAATCCTCTTCATTTAAGCGGATTTCGTTTTGATTCAAGCAAAAATCCGATTGAATCAAGAGTATTTTTTCTTGTCAATATTTTCAAGAGTCTGGACTCTAGATCCAATGTGTTTTTCTTTCCCCCAGTGTAATGTTGAAAAACGCGTATCCTAATTGCAAAGTTAAAACTTCCCTTGTTAAGTTTCTGTTCATGTTGTCTGCCTAAGATATTAAAATCAGTCGCATTCCTCAGAGCCTTCGGAGTTTTTGGCCCTTCAGCCCTCAGGACATCCACTCGTTATTGCGGAAATACAAATTTGTCCCTCATTGAAGTGAATGACCGGTTTTTCTTTTTTTTCTTTTTTTTTTAAATTTTTAATCAAGAGCTTTGAGCCCCCTCCAGGTTGGGTCAACTTTGGCCTTAGTCGCTAGAAAAACGGTCACCGTACATGGTTAGTTCACATTCATGCTCCAGGCTTTTCACATTTTTCGGAGATGAACGCGGAGTAGGGTCTGTTTCAACAGATCCACTCGTCATTTACTCGATGGTTTCTGGCTTACTCGATCTTACAACATGTTGCAAAAACAAGCAACAACCGCATTTTGTTCGTTTTTTTTGTTTTGCATTGGGAGAGCGGGGCTTATTCCCGCGCGCAAAATTTGGGAACCCCTGAAGCATCATTGTCGTACAACAATTGCAACGTGCTCCAAGGATGTTGTTCCCAGCGATAGCGCTGTTTTCTAACTTAAAATTGGAAGTCGCTGTATCCTATCATTGGCTGTGCGGAATCGAGTGAAAAACATCAATAAATGAGAGCGGAAACACTTTTTGTAAAGAATGATACTATATATTATGTACTTTTTTTTTCTTTCTTCACGTGGCTCTGCTTTTAGCTTATCAGCAATACGCTGCATGTATTTGTTGTTCAGTAAAAGTACAGCGCTCCTTTGAATCCTGCAAAATTTAGGAGCCCCTGAAGCAATATTGTCGTCAGAGATGGAAAATTGTATGAAATTTATTGAAACTTCTGGGGATACATTTAGGAGGCTAAGAAACGCCTAGAAACAGTGATCCTAAATTTTGAAATGTTTTACCCCAAGCATAAAACATTCGCGCGTTGCAAATGTTTTCGTTTAGTTGTGAGGTTAGGTTCGGGTTTTGCTCTCTTAACTCCCCTTTTTGCCCCC